GACATTGACTTTGACCAAGGAGTTGACCTTGGACCAAGAGAGGGTCAATCTTTTGACCTAAGGGTATTTGTGGGTATCTAACCTATGTTTATGGTTTATAGTTGGAGGATTTGTGATCCAGCAGTCAGGTGCTCAGCAAGCAGACTTCAACAGCTACTTTCGAGGTGAGTTACCTTCCAGTAGCGGTGGGTCTAAGGCCACAATGTCGGCCCACCAGTAGGAGAAGTATGATAGATGATTGTCTTTGTGATATCATCTAGGTTTGCTACTACCTGATATGTTATATGCTAGCATGATATGTCGTATGTGATAGTAGTAGAGTTCGGTTGTTAGGACCGAAGGGTAGTGAGACACCCCAGATACGTCTGATAGTATGTGATGATATGTTTGCTTGCTGGCTTGTTATGTTATATGCGATAGAGGTAGTAGGAGGGGACCAGTCCCCGAGTTCAGTTGTTAGGACCGAAGGGTAGTTCAGGAACCCCAGATATGTCTGATATTATGTTATGTTATGATATATGTGATAGTAGCAGTAGGGGGTGAAATAGTCCCCGAGGATCGGTCGATAGGGCCGATGGGTAGTCAGCACCCCAGAATGGACTGACATGGGTAGTCAGCACCCCAGAACGGCTTAACACGGGTAGGTCGGCACCCCAGAATGGTCGTATCGAGTAAGTCGGGCACCCCAGAATTACCCGGCAATATGTATGATACGTGATTATATGGTATGCGGTATGATGGGGGGAACTCACTAAGCTTCGTGCTTACAGTTTTCAGTTTTGGTTTCAGGTACCTCTTCTTCGAAGGGGAAGGAGTTGGCGCGGTAGCAGCACATCACACACACGCTTTGTATTCCGCACTATGAGATTTTCCTGGGGATTTGTACTCTGACATTGTTATGTTTTTATAAACTGGTTTCCAGACACGCACATCTTTTATGAAATGATATGGTCGGTGAATGTTTTATTTCTAATGTTTTGCTAAGTATGTGTTTTAAAAATGAAATTTTTGGCTCGTATTTTTGGGATGTTACACGTTTGCTTCGAAGTTGTGATGTATGTTGAAGTTCAACAATCTAGGGCATGAATTGAGGGTATGATTTTACCTCTCAGTCACCAGATTTTGCGTCACCAGAGGGATTTCATGATTGATGTTGATTCCTTTGGAGATTTCATCTCGAAAATCGATGATGATTATAGATTTTAGAATATGATTTGATTATGATTACAGTTTCAGATTTTGGTTTGTTTTGGTTTTAAATTTCAAAAAAGAAAATGGTGTTGATTTCATTTGGATTTGAGCTTTAGATTATGGTTTTATATCAAGTTTCGGATTCTAATTCTAGTATTATATTTAGTGGTTGTAGGGTGCCAGTCACCGATGTAGGAGGTGTCGGTGGTTAGTGCTGGAATGCATACGGAGAGAGAGAGAGAGAGAGAGAGAGGGAACCCACACATATTTAATATCTTCTTAAATTAACTATATAAATAAATTAAAAACAATTAATTAGGACAATATGGTTATTTTATGTTTGGAAAGATTAAATACAATTTTAAACCAATTAAGAAACTATCCGAATTAATTTTTGGATATAAAATCGTTTTTTTTTTTTTGCCACAACACACTTGTTTGTAATTTACTCTGTATGGAGTAGACCTGGCAAAACATGATACGACACGAAAACCCGACACGAAATTAGCGATTTAGGGTCAGAAATTTCGACACATTTATGTAAACGAGTTGACATGACACGACAATTAAACGAGTAAGCTTAGGGTTAAGACTTTCAACTCGAATATGACCCGTTTAATTATATATTATTTATTATAATAGATTTCATGTTTTTTATAAATATATTATATGTTATAGACTTTTAGTGAGCCTTACTCAATAATTATAAGTAATATTTAAATTTTCAAAGTTAATTAATGTTAGTCATCCTCACCACCTATCCATTTTGCTCTCCAACTTTAATTCTTTTCATTTTTACTTCTAAACTTATTATAAATTTTATCATTCAATCTCATAACTCCAGTTTTCACTTTTTTCTTTTTGCTTCCACAACTCTTACTTTCTAACTTTTAAAATATTTCAACTCGACATGACACAACATATTTATAATGTCTAAACTTTAACCCAAAACCCGACATGAAAATAAACGGGTTGATACGACAGGACACCCTAATTAAACGGGTCAGGTTAGAATCAAGCCCTTTGAACCTGTTTAATGTATTGACACGACATGACACATTTGTCAGGTCTAATATGGAGTGGGTGTTTGGGATAGCTTTTCAAAAAAAAAAACTTACTAGTTTTTTAGTTTTTCAAAAAGCTAATAAGTTAAAAAAATGTTTGTGTATTTAATAAGAGTTTTTTAAAAAAGTTTTTTGGATAGAAAAAAATAAAGTTTTCAAAATGCTGGAAAATCCTAGCTTTTTAGTTTTTTAACCATTTTACTCCTAAAAATCAGCTTTTCTTATCCAAACATTTTTTAAAATCTGTTTTTCCTAAAAGTCATAAGCTAATAAACATTTTTCTTAAAAAAATCACTTTTAAATAATAATAATATTATTTAAAATTAAAAATTAATATAAAAAATAAAAAATAAAAAACACTAATTCTGCACGGTGTGTTTTTATTTGTGATGCTAACTGTAGTTAAAGCCCTCTTCCAGAGTTGCAGATTATTATGATGGTCATGGTCATGGCAATTCCAAGAAACATTGCTTCTTTCATCGCCGCTCATCCCCTCAACAAACTCAAACTCTAAGGTATCTTTACTACTCTTTCTTCCTTTATTTCTTTCGGAAACACTTCATCAAGTTTAGGATTAGTTATGGAAATATGTTCCCCCAAAAGGATTTTTTCTCAGCATTCGTTCGTCTCCTTCTTTTAATCGTCAAACATTGTTTACTTACCCTCGATCTGTGTTCGACAAGATTACTAAACTTAAGGATGCCCTCAAACTGTTAGATGAAATGACACAGCAGCAACCTCTGCCAACAATTGTTGAATTCACTCTGTTGTTGCAAGCTGTTACCAAAATGAAACACTATTCTTGTTCGATTGAGCTTTTCAAACAAATGAATGCCATTTGCGTTCCTGTGAATGTGTACACTATTAGCATTGTGATCAAGTGCTGTTGCCAAATGTACTGTGCACCAGTGAAGGATTTGCAGTCCTAGGCTATGGCTACAATATAGTAGTTTGTTGAACGGGTATTGTAAAAAATTGAAGAAGGCAGAGGCAATGCATCTGTTTAATGAAATGATTCAGAAAGGTATGAAACCAGATTGTTTCTAGTTGGAGATCGTAAAGCTGCATATGAGCTCTTTAATGAGATGCGAACACACAATGTGATTCCAAATGAGTACACTTACACAATAGTTTTAAAGGGTCTATGCATACATCAGATGGAGTGGTGTCAGTTCCTTAGTTGCTGAAACTGCACGAGAATGTCTGCAACTCCATGTTTTTCTTCTAAATATTTCTAAAACTGAGTTTTTGGGCATAGGATTTGTGAATGGTTAGGATGTTTGTTTGAATTTTGATCTAAAACAGAGTGTTTTGACTTTTTTTTAAATTGTGCAAAGCAACATTTTCTTGGTCATTTTGTTCTCTTGATTTTGAATGTATGTATATTGCATTAAATTCCATATGGGATTTTAAAGATTTAGCAATTCAGGTTTAGGCCCTGTTTGTTACAAACTACCATGTATTGATGACAATGGGACAAAGCTAAAAAGGATGGGGACCCACTCTCGATCTCTTGTTGTACTGGGAAGGTCATTTGGTTTGAAAGAGAGATTCTTTTTTGTTCATTTGAGATGGCTAACAAAAATGTAAAATGTTGACATGGAAGTAATAGGGAGATGATGGTTTATTTTTTCTAATTTAACCCGTTAAGTTGCAAACAAAAACCATCAAAGTTGACATAGTGAATAGAAAAAGAAAAAAATAGACATTTGGATATATATATATATATATATATATATATATATATATATATATATATATATATATATATATTCATTTTAAATAATTATTTTGATAAATTGCAATAAGCTTTTGTCTTGAAAATGATCAAAAGATATGAAAAATTAAAATAGATTACAACTCTATTATAGAGGACATAAGGGTGGAGTGAATGGAGCGGAAAAATGGATCAAAATACTACACATCCAAATATTGAAGTATACCAACTTATAATTGTTATAGAGCATCCCATAACTTGTTCCTCTTAGTTATGCATGATTAGAAGCGAATAACATTTTCAACTTCAAATACCACGTATGGCCCACCTTACCCTTTAAGGCTACTTATCCCAAAATAAAATGTATATTTCTTCAACATGCCTTCATTTACAACATCATATGTATCTTGCACTCATTCATAGCATTCCAATCATAATCTATGAAAACTTGAGTGTTACAATTGGCGTTGCTCACATGCTTCAACTTTCCACCTTGAGGTGTCATTAAAAAAATACTTAGGCGTAGACAGAAAAACACTCACTAAAAGTTGTCTCAAATCTAAAATCACATTTGTTTTAGATACTCGTTAAATATTTTCAAGATATTCTTAATAATTCAGCTTTGATTTCATTTCGTTTTATGACTATGTTATGCAATATCATCTCAATATATGTTTTAGCAACCATTACATTTGATGCATTCAATTACCGACACCTAAAAGAATTTAATAGTACGTGGAAGAATAGAATAAAAAGACATACAAACACTACAATGTACAAGATTAAGTCGAAAGCATTTGACAATCACCAAGTGCAAAGAAAACAAGCCACATAAACAAGGGCAGTATCGTAATTTGCACATTGATCACCACATACTACAATGGGAGTTTAGAAACGAAAAGTCTCATAAATGTAAGTTTTTTAACGGAAGAAAAAGGGTTGTTTGTTATCTTCACACCAGATGTTACATTGTACATAAAAATAAAAAAAAATAAAAAAAAAAAAAAAAAAAAAAAAAAAAAACATAACACAACACCACCACCTCCTCCTCTATATATTACACAAACATATATAACCAACCAACAACCTCCTCATCTTTAATAAAGAAAAACCCAAAACAAAGCCAATCATACACCTAAACCAACCACAACAAAAATCATATAAAAAAAACTATCACCAACCAAATACCCGTTTGTCAATGTACAAAGGGCCTTCGCTCTCTTTCTCCAACACAAATCTTGATTATTTTTCCAGAATGTTTCCACTAACTACGTGGTGTGGGACCCTTGAAAATCTCTTGAGTGGTAAAGCATGAGAGCCCATAATAAGTTTTTCCCATGATATGATATTTGATGCGAAAGCCAGCTAAATCCATGCAAGAGAGCCACGATCATTTGCAACTTGGGGGCGCCCCCTGGTTGGTGTTGGTGGTCTGTTTGCATTAAGCTCCTAACAAATATATAAATCAAAGTTAGGGCTTGTTTCTTTTTTTACTTAAGACTTGTTTTTTGCAGACTAGCTGGTTTGAAAATGGTTTTTGGAATGTTAGGGGTAAAATGGTCATTTAATTGAATAACAGTACCTGCATCCATGTGTCTTCTATGTGGCGTTCTGGTGAAGTTTCGGGTGATGAGATGGCAGGTGGAAGTGGATGAATGAGTTTCGGGACCACCACAAGATCTCTACCCAACACTAATATCGCACCTGCATTATTTGCGGTCCCTACACGGAAATTAAAAAAAAAAAATCAAAATATTAATAATTTAATCGTGCTTTTAAGTTCGTTATACAGACAGAAGAGTTAGTTACCACAATAATTAGTGGCTGAGAAAAGGGTAATCAGGTGTCCTTGTGCAAAACGCTCAAAACCATCCATTACACATTCATGTGCACGTACAATTAATTGGAGATCATTATTGTTGCAGAACTCCATCACACGATCAGGCTGTGAAAATAATGAGGATAATAAATATGCAAGTGGTTCATGGAGATTCAAGATTAAAAAAAGAGTAAATTTTGAAAATAACCTACTTTACGATTTTTTTTACCAATGTTTTATATTTTACATTGCATTTCTTTACCCATGGTAACAAACGTATTTATAATTTTTCACCAAGACTAGAATTATGTAATTGAAAGAACTTAACTTTTGTCTAGAACAGCAATGTACTAACAACTCCCTGCCTATAATAGCAATGTACTTGCAATTTTTTTATTACTAATAACACCAAATAAGCAACATGAAACTTGTAAGCATTTTACAAGTTTTACATATATTGGTATTATTAGTAACAAAAAAAATATAAGTAAATTGCTACTAAAGGTTTCAGATTAGATAATTCTAGTTGTAAAAAAAATGTAAATACATTGCTAATATGGGTAAAGAAGTGTATAAAATTGAAGTCCATCGGTTATATTAGTAAAATTTGTAAAGTATGTTGCTATTCTAAAACCAAGACTCACCCCAAAAGTAACTAATCCAGGACCTCTGGCATTTGGTCGGAGTCCTTCCACACTGTCATTTTCTGTTGGGTCAGACCTATTGAGAAAGATGGGGTTGGGGTCAGAACTCAGAATGAGAACTAATACCAATTAATCAAATTAAGATATATATATATATATATATATATATATATATATATATATATATATATATATATATATATATAAGTTGAAATGTTGAATGATTGATGAAAACTAGAAAACCAACCACAACAAATCCATAAGTACAATTGAGCCAGCCTCCATGGTAATGGGTCGTTGAAGGTTTTCGATTTGTTCAATATGGTTAATTGACCTCCCAATACCACCATGCATACAAATGATCTTTTTCTCAATTAAAGCTGCTAGTGGCAACCAGTTGAATAATCTGTTTATACGGTGCCATACCCATATTCCATCTCTCTCACCCTGTTCAGGATAAATAGTTCCCATCACCATCAGTTTGGTTGGATGGAATTGAATGGAAGGACAAAGGAATTGAATGAACTATTCCATAATACCAAATACCAAGTAAAATTGCATCAATGAAACCAAAAACATATGATGTTACCATTCGCTCAATGCACTCGATTCGAAAGCCGAAAAGTGCGTTTATATCAGCAGCTTCATGATTCCCACGAATTAAATGAACGTTTTGTGGATACTCAACCTACAAAATTCAACCAGTTACAAAAGTAGAATCAAGTTTCCCTGTGAGACAAGCGCGAATAGTACCTTTAGAGCTAACAGAAGACTAATGGTTTCCAAGCTGTGTTGACCTCGATCAACATAATCTCCTAAGAAGAGATAATCGATATATCTGAAAATTTAACCATAAAAATTATTGTTAGTCAAATAATGTCACACAAATTAGGGGGCTTTTTGGTTCATATGTTGTTTCAGGAAATAATGGAAATCCGTAAAGAGAATTGGAATCTGAAAGGGGGTCCATAATTTTTCACGCATTTGGTTGGCAGGAAATGGAATGGAATTCAATAATAATAATCAAATAAATTTTTTAACTTTTATTTGTATTTAAACAATTTTGTTTATTGTAAAAATATAACTAACCTTTTTATCTATTTCAATGTATAATGAGGGAATTTTGGTTTTTTAATAGAAAAGAATTGAGTTCTTCAAATCCTTCCACCCTCTCCTAGAAATGGTGAAATCCATCAAACATGGAATTTGAAGGATTCTGACAGAACCGGGTTCAACCAAACACGTGACAGAATGGAAAATCTCAAACTCCAATTCCACCGGAATCAGCGAAAACCAAAAATGCCTTTCGTGAAATTATGATTTTCAGAGTAATAAGGATATCTTACGCAATGTCTCCAGCAGTGGATGGAGATCCATATTCATCAAAAAGTCGCATGAGGTCACCAAACTGACCATGTAAATCACCAAAAATCTTGATAGGAGCCCTTAGTTGAAGAACACTGGGTTCGCTTGAAAATATTCTCTCAGAGCTATCACAAAGATCAGCTATCTCATTGCAATCCAGAAAAAATTGCCTGCGAACAGGAGGCTTCCACCCACGAGGCTTCAACAGGTGAGCTATCACCTATATAAGATCCAAACAGAATCATCTTTATAAAACATTGAAGCAGTAAAAATTAAAGTAAATGAAAGCACTTCTTAATTTGAACTAAGAAGTAATCATATTATCTGTACCTTTTTGGGGACACTGTTAATCGACATCTGGCGATCTAGAAGCTTCCTAGCTGCGGTTGCATTTTCAGGGGTCCCATAGCTAACCCTCCTCCCTTCATTTTCAAACTGATCAATTGACAGCTGCCTCACCATTCCACCTAATGCTCCGCCAGTCTCTGCCGCCACCACCACCTGCAAAATTACCCACTCAACCGTCAACATACAAATAAACAAATAGATAAAAGACATTAAGCCACCGATAATTTTATACTGACAGCTCGGTGATGCAATCGAATTCCAGTTGGGGGAGGAGTGATTCCAACATCAGATTCTGGTTTTATCATTTGTTTCCCACTTGGAGTAGCCTCGGATCCACAATCCCTATCTGGAAGTTCAACTTCTCCATTAGACTGACGAGCTTTTGCAGCAGCAAGGGTTTTAGCAATGGCTTCTGCTTCTGCTGCTGATGCCTCAACCAAGTATTCCACTCCTTTGCTTAGTCTCCTGCAAAATCACCACCATGATATGGTTAAATGCAATAATAAATAGCATAGCACTTTCATTTACTTTTTTCTAATTCTTGAATTTAAGATAAACTTATTTACCCTCATTCATATTGTTAGTTTAATTGGTAAAAATACCTTGATCCGGGGAGCATAGCATTCTCGGTGCTGATATCTGTATACATGTCACCATTGACAGGTGGAGCAACGGGGCTCCCCAAAACGACTGAACCATCAGAATCGGATTCAGAAACGGGCTGCCTGGATCTGTCATCAACAAATCCATACCTTCCAGGTAACCTTCCTGACTGTGCATTGGATGATGCAGCTGCAGCAGCTGCATGTGATGCTGCAGATGTCATTTCAGCAGCAGCCAGATCTTCAGCAACTAACAGATCATCTAACAATACCCCTGCAATGAAACAAGTAGCAATGTACTTTCAGCTGTTTATGCATTATATCATCTTACTTTTATTTTATTTCTTTCTATTACTGTATTACATACAGCATCCTATTTTTTAATATATTTTTCTTATCAAGGTAAAAAATCTAGGCAGACATGCAGTTATGGCATTGTACACTACCAACTTTTTTCTTCTTAGGACATTATAATTAGCAAAAATCTATCAAATTATAGCAGTGAAATTTGCTTTGTATTTGGATGACATTGTTGTAATTAGGTAGATGCTTTCAAGTACTGTCATGTTAGGAAGAAATGGAAATAAGATGCCATTATAAACAAATCAATGGAAGTAATTTGGCTATTTCTTGTATTAACCCTGACAATTGAAGGAATAATTGTCACAGTATAAATATGCCATCTTGCTGACAATTATAGCACAAAAATTGATTTCTAGAAGAAAGATATGGAAGGAAAGTGAAATAGTGAATATATAATTTCTTAAATTCAATGATTAAGAAATGTAAATTTTTGCAAATAGAACTGCATTTGAACTTATATTAGAAATTTCAGTATGCTAGCCTTTAATAATTTAAGTTTTCTCCAAATCAAATAAATGTGCAGAGGGTAAGCAACAAGCGCTAACTTGTCCTAAATGCAATTATTTCTGATATTTTCCTGGTCAAGATACTCTAATACTTATCTGCAAGTTAGAGTATAAAACAAGCTCTGTAACAAGTGACAACCCTTACATAATAAGTTAAACAAAGAAATAAATAAGTGCCTGTTTTCATATACAAAATTAGAAAGTTGAAATAAAAAAATGTGTTTGGAAAATGGAAAGAATAGAATAATCCGATTCTTTCGGAAACAGTGAGATTGATTGAGCAATAAAAAGGGATATTTAAATAGTGATCAGAAACCCTAAAGAATTTACGAGAGAGGAAGCAACAGCATGTGTTGAGGTCAGATTTGCTAAAGAGAGACAAGAAGGTTTCTACGGATACAATCACCAGGTGTATTTTAAATTTTAGAATAAATATTTCTACAAATTATCTGCGGAATCCTTGTGTTATAGAAATTATAGGAAGCATGTTTTATAGCAAAATCAAGTTTCATTTACTATTGAAGCATGAACACAAAATTTTATGTGTAGATTATATTTTGGTTAAGCTGTGTTCAGTAATCAATTTAAGTGCGCCACTACACGCGAAGTAGAAGTAACAAACTCGAGAGAATATAAAGAGAAGTTAACATAAATTCTTTGTGAACATACTTTTAGAAGCTCATACGGTTCTTCATGAATGTCATGTAGTTGTATAATGTTATAATATTCAAATTTAAGTATACTGAATTACTGATATTAGAATTTAGACATAAAAACACTCTTCTTAGTTCTTACCTCCACGTAGACCACCATAGATGAAAATTAAATCGCCTACAGCAGCAGCTGCATGCCTACAACGCCTTGTCAATTCAACAGCAGCATCTCCACCAGCTGCATCAGCACTGTATCTGCCTGTTCGTGGAGAAGTCACCACAGATTTTGTATCACACCACACTCCTGCTGCAGTATCAAGAACTACACCAAGGGAAGAAAAAAAAAAGTAGTGAGAAACATTTGAAAAGATCATAGAAGCATATAATAGAAATAGGGTAATGTCATGCCATAATCCATATAATAAACTGTTAATTCCAATTTGCTTTTGGACAAGAATGCAGGGTCAAAATCATACCTGCCACACTTGATGAGTCCTCCACCATGCGTCCACCTCCAAGTGCCCCTCCAGATACATGGAGCCTAGCATTAACAAAGACCTAGAACAACATATGTACTTTTTAAGCACTCCATATGTTTGTATGTGTGCATATATATGTGCACTTAATACATGGAAAGTTATAACTTAAAACTAGTATTTTATAGGAACACACCGCTGCATGTTGATATCTAGGAGATGGTGAAACCCCAGGAGCAATTGCCCATTCCCATCTACCATCTCTGTGTTTTGCAAGTCCATAAGCACTAGCCAGAGGCTGCAAATATGATGATATAAAGCAAATCAGATATTTATATTATAGAGTTTATAGTGAAAGACAGCATTCCTATGACCCTGAATGATATTAAGGGAAAATTGCAGGTAATAGCTACATACTATGCCTTTTTACCAATATGCTTTCATTTTTACCAACAATAGCAACGTTCTTCTGATTTTCTACTGATTATACCAACTTTTAACATGATGAATTGGTAACAGGTTGCTTTTTGATTTGTTTTTTTATTTTTTTGCTCATGTGGCAACGATATGGCAATGTTTTAATGCTGGTTTGGCAATTATATTGCCACGTCATCACTGGTTCACTGCACATAAGCAAAAAACTGAAAAATATTCTACAAGTAACCAGTTACTGGTTCTCCAGGTTAACACTTGTTGTAATAGGTTACCTATTAGAAGTAATAAGTATAAAAGATATAGCCTATATCGATACAAAAGAGAAAGTATGTTGCTATTCCCGTAATGCACTAATATTAATCTTTTCTTTGGTATTGATGTGGTTTTCTGTGAGTATTCAAACATTTAAGTGTTCCTTTACACCAATAATAAAAAAATTATGTTATGCATAGTTTATGCTAAACACATTGAGGTTCTACAATTTTTAAAAGATAATGAAGATAGTTGCAGGCTTGCAGCTAAAATATTTAATAGCTATAGAATTAAGAATCATAGACTTCCATGTAACAATTAAAGCATTAACAATAATCAGATATTTTGAACAGTAAGTAAACATTTTCATGAAATAGTTAAAGCAATAACATGTTGCTCACCACACTATTTGCATCCCGGCCTCCACAAAGCAAAAGAAGACCATCAGAACGTGCACTTGCAGTAGCATACCTACATCAAAGTGGGAGGAAAATTAGTAGGCATACATGAAGAAGAATAATAGAAAGTTCCACAATGTGTGTGAAAAGATGATTAGTAGGCATACATGCATGGTGGTGGACCCTCTCCCTCTGGTTCTAATTTCCTCCATTCATATGGTTTTGCAGCTGTGTCTAAAGCCCATACATCAGCAAGAGGCCGCTTTCCTGTTTATAACAACAGGGTATGCATTTAGTATATGAAAAAAGAACCCAAAAATATTCGTTATAAATGAAGCAATACACTGAAAAAGACTCACCATCATTTCCACCAATTGCCATAAGATATCTTTGCCCCACCAGAGCCATGACATGCCCATATCGTGGGCCAGGGCCAGGGCCTTGAACCACCACTCTACAAGAAAAAAAGAAAAACATTTTTTTACCAAATTTGCAAAATTGTAAACTTCCAACATATGCAGATATGTACAAGTAAAGAATTAAAGATTTCAAATTTATACCTATGCCACCGAGGTCGTTGTTGAGTTAGGTCAAGAACATGGAGATCCTCAGCAGACAGACCAGCTGGACCAATTCCACCCTGTGTTGGATTAAACAAAAACATTTAGTTGAAATGTTGATATACTAACAGAAAATACACAAACTGTAAAGATGAGCTATTGAAATATGAACTATCACAATTCACACCTGAATAACCACCATTGTACCCACAGCAGTTGCCACATGAGCTGCCCTTGGTGTAGGTGGTTCTCCAAAGGGAGTTATTCTGCAAAAAAAAAAAAAATGGTATCTCATTGAATTGTAAAAGTAATTGAGATCCACTTGGGTGCAAGCATTAAATGGAAAAAGAAGGGGAAATAAAACTTGCAATGAAAAGGCACAAACCTAGACCATTTATTTGTCAATACATCATAACAGTGCACATCAGCAGTTGCGCCTGATAGACCTGTGGTATGAGACATATGGAAACAAGCTTTGAGGAGTGTAATCAAATGTCAGAATGAATGTTTTATAATGAATTAAAAATGGAATCTTATCCTACAGAGTGAATGTAGTTACAATATTTACGTTTTTAACACTAGAAACTAGATACTATATATAATTTGCAATTTGGTAGTTGGTACTTCATTGCTATACATTGATAGTAGCAGGAAGTGCAATTTGAAGGTCTCATAAAGAAAAAGCTTCAGATTCACTTCAATCAATTAACCTTGATTTAATCAATGGCCTGAGTTAATTAATTCAATCTCTATCCAGAAAAAGAAAATTTGAATTCTGGGTCCTAGTGTGACTGAATATACAAACTTCTACAATCTAGTGTGTCAACAGAATCAAAAGAAGACTGAAATCAACATACAATAAAAGCTTTTCGTTATTGTGTATTTTTACTTTTTCAGGAAAAAGTACTCAATAACGAAGAGTTCTGGTTGGAGAAAACGGAGGCAGAAACATACGGATTCCGGCACCTCCTGCAGAGGTTGGAGTCCCAGCGTTGGCGGAGTTGCCTTCGAGAGCTGTTGCACCACCAAAGAGTATAAGCCTCGGTCCCATATAGTTAGGTGTTCCTTCTTCCCCAACTGCAGCGACAGCAGTCAAGGTGTGTCCACATCTCGGACCTGGACCATCTTCCTTCTTCTCTAAAATAGCATTCACAACAGAATAATTAGGCGCATGTCTAGGCCCACCCACCGGACTACCACTTGTTGGCTGAACTTGAGACTGCAGCGGCTGAGCTGAGGAAGCCGGAGACTCCTCCCCGGCCGCAGCCGGAGACTCATCTAGCTGCTCCTCCGATGCAGGTCCATTAGTATCAAGGTTATCGCTGCTATTATGATCAACCTCCAACGACGACGCCATTGACGAATCCACATCCATCACTCAATAACTCGAAACCTTTATTCCCTAGATCGGAGCTTGAATTCTCACTGATTTGCATTCCTGATCAACACCATAACTTCAATTCCCACAACACCTCCTCCAATTAACTTGAATTATGAAACCCCTAACTTAGATCCTCACAGATTCAATCCGATTATCCCGACAAAAATCCGAGAAAGAGAAGGAAACCGCTCTTTATTTCTCCCTCTCTTTCTCTACCTTTCGGAAAAAGGAGAATAGCTTCTACTCTTTCTCTCTCTACGCAAATCTCTCAAAGATTCTTCCTCAGTCTAGAACCCTAAAACTCCTCACCTTTATTTCCCTTTAAGAAATTTCGATTTAGGTTTTCTTACTCTCTAGAAACTTAAATAAGTAAAACCAACTCTAATTTGACCTCTTCTTCTTGTCGCTTGACCTACACGTACGGAGCGTGAGACGGCGGGTGACGGTGGTGAGCGCCGGAACGAGGGTTGAATGATCGCCGGCTTAGGATTCTTTGGGTTCGGCTGATTGGATGACGAGGAAGAGAGGATTTTTTTTAAAATCAAAAGGTTAAAAGAGTAGGGAGAGTGAAATAAACGCGCTTAAAATGCGCGTTTCATAAGATAATAAAATATACTGCATCCATAAAGGAAATATTGATTTTTTTGAATTGTCCAAAAAAAACCGTATATTTTATTAACACTGTAATGTAACTCGTAAATGGAATCTATGTTGTAAACTATATCACATAACTTCAACAAATTTTATACAAAGTTTTACAGTAGGCATGATACTTGACATTGATAATAAGATTAAAAGGAAAAAATAAATTCAAGTTGTATGTTTTTAGGTTAATATATGATTACGAACGTCTAGGGTCTTATATATAAATAGGTAAAAGTTTAGTCAACTTGTATTTTGACTTTTGCATGTTAAAGAGAGGGACGTAAGGGAGTTAGTTTTTAGTTCCATGTTTCTTGTTATATTTCTCTTTGTACGGATACACAACATAAATAAGTTCTAAGAATTCTTTTTTAATTCTTCTCGACAATTCTTTGCTAATTATTGGTTTAACTTCTCATATTTGTAGGTAGGCTTAGTTCTATTTGGATTCATTAAATTATCTTTGTTTTGAGTTTGTGATTCGTTTTTTCAGGTCCATCTACAAATATTTTGTGTTAGAGCCTTCGGAGGTGGAGTTTTCATGTACACACATCAAGTGTTCAATAATAGTTTTAAAAAAAGGTATGGTTGGTGTTCTTGAGATTCGACGACGGTAGTTGATTGCCATTTTAAAGGCAATTATTAAACAGTGAAAGGGTTTCATGTTGGCGGTGAGGGTGTAACGCATGTTTTTCGTATGTGGTCAATTAGGGATCTTGAGGAAATGAGTATGGGGGTTTTGGAAAAAAACCTTGTTCGCGATGTGTTTAATGGATAAGCATGACGTGTTCCACGTCGTAAGTAGCCACAAAGAGCCCAAACCTTAATCATGAGCCTTGAGCCTTATATAAGGACACTAACTTCTAGGGTTAGTCGTTTTCCTTCAGCCTCTATCCCCAGAAAACCCAAACCTTGAAACCTTAACCTCTCTTATCTCAATTGGTGTTCTTGGTTTATGTTGGTGAAGCTTGAAGTAGAAGCAATGAATTTTTGGTACACCAAAGGCTATATCTAAATAATACAAGCTTTCTTAACCTCACATTTGTGCTATGTAAGTATTCAAGTTCTTTATACTTGTTCTTTGCTAGAGCTAAGATTTTGAGCATAGTTAGACCCTTTTTGTCATGATTTCTATGGAGTTTAGAAAGCTCCAAGTTCAAAGGTTAATTTGTGTTACTTTGTGGACCCTTGGTGGTGAAAATATGTGAGTGTTGCATTTTATTTTGGACCATGTAAGATTTTGAGCATCTTTAAACGCATTTTTTTGCATAGGTTTAGAGTTAGTGGGATTTGAGGTATGCAAATAAATGAAGTTGTTGAGAGAAAAACTTAAGACACACTTGAACAAATGTTAGAACAAGTATAGTTGCGGAATAGTTTATCTCAAAGGATCATGAAAGCTCAACAATAATAATAAGTTAGAGTTAGATAATTAGAGAGTTAGGTGCGGAAATGTAAGGAAATATAAATGACAATAGGTGTTATATCAAGTATACACATAAGTTGATTCTTAACAAGGAATGCATTCAAACCAAGTTAGTAAATGAGATCAAACTTGTGACAATCCGATATTTCGAATCAATATAATGACCTAAAAAGTCAAGAACTGTAATCTCTTTTGATATAATGAAATTAGTGTCAAAAATAAAATGTTCAAAAGTCTCTATTGGGTTGCCTACAATGATAGTTATCGTGTCAAGGTTTCCAGAAATATAAAGAACATTAAAATTTGAGTTATAACGAATATATGACCGATCGAAAATTCGTGTCAAAACCGGTAAAACACTGGCAAACGTAAAAATTTAAATTTCAATAAAATACTTTTTAGCCTTAGGTATTTAAATGAAAGTCGTAGGTTATACTAAACCGTGAGCGTGCATAAAAAGAACGTCAAAATCCGACTTCGTATGAAGAAGTTATGATTTTTCTAAGTTTCAGGATAACGGTAGACAGCTAAAAACTCGAAACAGATATCAAGGGATTTTTGGCTGAAATAACCTAAATGAGAATCGAAGATCTCAACAATAGTAGCGCAACGGTAAAAAGTCTGACGAAAACGGACACCGGATGAAGAAGTTATGGATTTTTAACGGACTTTTCATGTCCCGGCTTGTTAAAAATATAATATTAAAAATAAAGTCAAAATTAGCCGACAGAGTCTAAACGAGAGCTGTGGAGCATAATCTCGTCTACGCGTGGATATAAAGAACGTCGAAAATGGAGCACATACGCGGAAGTTACGGATTTTACAAGTTCGGGACACAAAACTCGAGGCTGTCAGGCAGCTCACGACGTGAGCCACCCATACTCACAACGTGAACCTGTGGCTGATGGGTTCCAGAGTCTATCAACGAGTTATCAAGTCTACGAGAGGAGGCAGGTCGAGCTCACGATGTGAGCCACCCAAACTCACGACGTGAACCTCAGATTTCACCCATATAAATAGAAACCGATGGTTTAGGGTTTAAGTGCTCAATTCTCTTCTCTCTCGTGCCAAAGCTTTGCGTTTTAACCCCCGAAGCCATCCTGAAGCCCCGTTCTTCACATCCAAGTCCCGAAGTAAGGTTTAACACTCCCGAGATTCCCGAGAGTTTTTAGAATCCCGAGAAATCTGTTTTCTCCTGTCGAAGTTCTGCTCGGTTTTCCTCTCACCTTCTTCAATCTATCAAGTGAGTTCATACCCCTATAACTACGTTTTCAAATGCTTTTATACACTTTTAGGGGGAGGAATACAAGTAAACACACGATTATCCTCGTGTAAATAACATAAATCTTTTGCTATACTTTTGTTATAATCAATCATATGTTATTTATAACTAACATACGAAAACGTTCTCATACAACATATCACGATAACACTTTGTTCATTTTGAAATGAAACATGTTATATAAATATCAAACACTTTATTTATATTTTGAGTATAAATGTTCAATGATGTCATTATAAATGTTATACTTTACGTACAAAGTCGACACTACACTAGGGTTTTTCCAGACAAGCGAAACACACTTTTGGAAAAACTATAATAGGTATAGACGTACAGTTTACAGGGAAATCATGAGATTCTACATACTATAAGTACTATCTCAAGGAAAGAACAAAGGGACTTTTCATACGTAAATCTATTTGATACTAAGTTTTGTGAGACATTCAACTTCAAGTACTTTCAAGTATGTCGTTAAAGTCCTGTATTGTATACCATAATCTCTTGTAGGGAGAGTGTGATACTTATGTATAGATCTATATGGGATCGATAATCCCACACCTAAACTGTTAGCTACAGTTAGACTGGCAGGTCTGGGGTGACAAACGTCATAACATTCCAACGCCTGAAGAACGTTGTTACAGGCAGCCTGGATCAATAGCATGGTTATAAAACTCACATGGAGTATTAAAAACACAATGATTTACGGGGTTATCAAATGACTTAGTGACTTTATACATACATAAATCTATTATTCTAGGCATGAAAACTACTAATGCATTACAGATTTAGAACTTTTAAACACTCATGGAAAAATATTGGATTTTTCATAAGGAAGTCAGTGATTTTATACCAAACTTACAAATTTTATACATAAACGCTTATGAACTCACCAACTTAATTGTTGACACTCTTTCAAAACTACTTGTATTTCTCAAGGATTCAGTAATACAGGTAAACCTCAGCTTTTGGAGAAGTGATGCTAAGGCGTTAGTTTAAAACTCATTTTGTCATGATATTGTAATTTGTTTCTGAACAAGCATCATGCAACAATGTAACATTTAAATTATATATATGATGGTTGTTTTACTTTCTTTACTATGTATTCAATTGTTACGATACTACATGAAGTCATCCACCCTCAAACGATTACGTCGTTCTGGTTTAGGGGTGTGACAGATTGGTATCAGAGCATTGTTTATAGTGAACTAAGTATATCGAATCACATAAGATATACAAACTATAAATGCATTGGGACTAAAATTATCTGACAAAACGTTTTTACACCTAAACCGCGTTTCATTTAGCTTAAATTATTTGGGTCGTAAAAGCACAAATATATGCATACGAGTCATTTTTTTCTAGTTAGAACTATACATGAAGTATTAAGACAAGTTAGACACTACGACTAGTCCTCGGAATATGTAATCGGATTTGCGACGAATATAGTCTGATCAACTATATTTATCCGAGATCGGACTAATGTATGTCGGGGAATGGTCGTAGTGAGCAACAAGTAAAAACTTACCAAAATGACACTAGTATCAAACATACAAATTTTAATACTATAGGAGTATTTGGTAGATGCAATAGTTTAACCTGCGTATTTAGACTTACATGTTTCAAAATTATACAATTCTTATAACCCTATTCTCGTATAGTCGAAATGGTTGGATTCCATCCACTCGGGGATCCATACTACCCAAACCAGGGCAATGGAGGATGGGTAAAGGAGGACCCCGAAGAAGATGAGGAACCCATGGAGGAGGAGGAAGGCGAAGACTCTGGGACAGACTCAGAGCCAAAAATAATCAACCCACCAGTCTCCCAACCTTCCGCACTTAGGGGAAACTTTCAAGGACCAACTCCTGTTTGGGGAAGTCATATTTACCATTGGAGCCGGCAGCAAGGATTACGTCCTACTTATGGTATGTGTCGGGATTTCTACGAGGTCAGTGGAGGAAGTTCAGTCGACCGAGCACTCCCAGTCATGGTGGGAAAACTAGCCAACCAGTCCTACCACTCCGAAGTTCAAGCGAACCGGATTCACGAAGTCAACGTTGAGTTTCAAGGTAACACTGCTGACATCCGTCACCTGGACATGTTGCAGGGAAATGCTCATCTCCACACCAACACCCTCCAGGAGCAGTTGACTACAGCTCTCTCTGAGATAAGAGAGATGAGGGAGCAGCAAGCCGCGTTTGACAAGCGTCTTATGGGAGC